TGAAAAATTTGTGGAGAAAGTGAGGGGAAAAGAAATTAGTACTGCTCAACTACAAGGGCATTTTGTGTTTTGGAAGGATAATCCACTAGGTGCTGTTCAGAATGCAGATTCCGCTACGTTGGGGTGGTAGAATTTCGATTTACTTTTCGGGATGATTAAAAGTGGGTTATATGATGTATGGTAACAAGCGATGATTGTATATAATTTTTTATTTTGCAGCAGATAAGGCTAAAAATTAAGTTTTTTTATGCCTATTTAATACATAATGTTCATCCAGTTATACTAAATCACACCAGTGGTGCTAACACCATGTATATATTTTTAATAATATACACCTAAGAATTAGGTTAGATACCTAGATATAGCAAAGTAATAAGTTCAAATTTTAGTTAAGGTGGGGTTTTTGGGGTGCTGAACAATTTTACTTATTACATCTAACATTAGTTAATTTGTCAGTTTTTGAGATATAGCAACTATAATGTTAGTACCACAGGCGTGATTTAATAAAACCGTATTCATCAATCATCTGAAAAAATATATATATTTATATATAACGAAAATAACACAAAGCCTAATTGTACCTCTCTTTTAGGTATTTATACCTCTTCTTGGTTTAAGTTTGATTAAAATATCATTTTTGGCCATGACAACAAACCTTTCTTCCATTTGCACATCTTCCATCTTCATGGCCAATTCGAAATCAAACTTTTGCGCAATCATACAGACCATCATTTTAATATCAATCATCGCGAGTCTCTCTGCTGGACCTTTGTTTTTTGTTTTTTTTTAAGAGACAAAAAGCATAAATACAGAAATAATAAGTTAGTTTCAAATATAATTTCACACGAGGTAGAAACGAATATTTAATTACATATTCGAGCACCAAATCCAAACGGACAATATGTACTCGGTTTAATATTTTTTTCTCGTGAAAATCGAGATGGGTCAAATTTTTGGGGGTTAGGAAAATATGATGGATTCTCGTGATATAATGGAATACAATATATGACCGTGGTGTCAACTTGCACCTTAAAATGTTCTACCGCCTTTGGAAATGTAGAATCTGTTTTGATTAAACGGGCACAAAAAGTACCTGGCGGATGAACTCGAAGAGATTCTTTTATCACTTGTGTTAGATAATCCATCTTGGATAAATCTTTTGTAGTATGATAAAATTATGGGTAGTTTTATTATCTTTAATAGAATTATAAAGTTTATTATAATAATCCATACCTTCAAATGTTGGTAACCGACCTTGCAGCACTTCATCAATTTCCTCTTGAAGTTTTACTTTGATTCTTGGATTTTGTGTTAAAGCGAATATGGTAAAAGGAATTGCGACACCAGTAGTGTGATATCCAGCCGTTAAATATCCGCCCAAATGGTTTCTTATCTGTTTTCAAAAATAACCATTGTTGTTTTTACCATTAAATAAAAATAAAAACAAATAAAAATTAAATTTACCTTTTCATCACTAAACGGGCGACCAGTGTCTGGATCATTTTCTGTTAACAAAATATCAAGAAAGTCTTTTACAGGCGCGGGTTCTACGTTCATATTTCTCCTATCCTTAATGATCTTATCCAACGTTGTAAGAAAATTTTCGAGTGATTGTTGAAAGTCTTTTTCACGTTCAGCATCAAGGAGACCAAATTGTTTATCAAACAAACCACTCAACGTGGCATCATAATGTTGCTTGAATTTTTTAAAGTCAAAATTCAGAGATGTGTCGGACCTTTTTTTCAATTGATTTTATAAAGAAAAATTTTATTTTGTTATTATGAAGGTAATATTCTATATAATTATAGATTATTCGATTACCCTATAAGAGCCTTTGAAGTTACTCGCAAAGAATATTCGAGGCCTTGCTCTTGCAATTTTATAATAACATTGTCTTGCGAATTCAAGCTTTCTTCCCATCTCTTGATCAAATCAACTCCAACGCTTCGCATATCCTCATATTTTGCCTTCAAAACTATATACAATTTTTTTTTTAAAAATAATAATAATAATAATAATCATAAATGTATATGTACAAGAAATAAAGTACACTTTTTTAACAGATGAATTACCTTCATGACTAAGAGCAGGTCTAATTACTTTTTTAAATTTCGAATCTCTTTCGGCATTATAGATTTGATAATTATCTTCTCCAAAAAGTGGTTCTAGAAATTTGAATAATCCAATAGGTCTGTCACCGATATGTGAAGTTGATTTCATTATTTCGGGATCCACCACAGAAATTGTATTTTCATAAGGAAGATTGGATGTGACTATTGTTCCTTGTTTTGCGTGAAGCATACGAAGAAATGGAATGAATCCTCCAGCAGAAGCTGCATCGATATCCTTTTTATTTGTGAAAAAAGTTTGAAATTTATCGTATATGATGGTTCTTAGCGGATATAAAAGACATAATGTTAAAATTATATATGGAATATAATCTAAAACGTAATTTAACATTTTGATATTTAAGTTCGAAAGTAAAAAGACTTTCGACCCTTATTACAGTATTATGGGAAAATTTATCCTCTCTTTATTATATACAAACAAGTTTAATGATATCTTCAGAAGGAAGTTTATTTAAGAATTATTTAATTATTGTCAGGAGTAGTGATTAACTGTCACGTATCATGATATATAAAAAAATTATATAAAATTATTTTTTCAAAGGTCACGATATGTGGCGATTAAACAACCCACTTCTTAACTCCGGTTAGTCTCATCACTGGTCCTGACGTAGTTTGAAATTATACAGTAGCATTAATCACAAAATTCATGGGCGTTGCAAAATAAAAGCCTGTAACTGATAATATTAAGTTATTTGAAATAAAGTTTTATTCAAAATAATAATTAATGCTAAAATTGAACATATACAGAAGGACCCCAAAATTCCGGGTCGGATTGCATCTAATTTTGCCCAAGATCACTGAGAATTTTATAGTACGAATATCTAACTGGGTAGCTTCGCAGCACGTGATGCCAAGAAGTCACGTCGATAAGTTCTCTACTCGTTAATTAATACAAAAAAAAACGTATTCTAATTTATGGTACACAATTTGCATGAATTTAACACAATTTTATTTTTTTTTTTATTAATTAACGTTAACATAAAAAAACGCATTCTAATTTGTGCTACACAATTTGCAGAATTTGAAAACACGAAATTGGTTGCAGGGGATATCTAGTAATTAACCCACAAAATTTTTTCCGGCACGTGATTACCGTTACAATTTTACGCCACATCACGCATTTTCCATTTTACTATTAAACGCGATCAGCTAAATTCTTTTTACGACGCTCTTTTGGTGCTTTTTACGACGTTCTTTTGGTGCTTTTTACGACGTTCTTTCGGTGACCTTTACGACGTTTTTTTGGTGCCTTTACGATGTTCTTTCGGTGCCTCTTATGTCGTTCCTTCGGTATGTTTTTTTTTTGGTGCCTTTTACGCGTTTTTCAATGATTTTTACGTTGTTTTTTCGCGCTTTTTACGTCGTTTTTTCAACGTTCTTTCGGCGTCTTTTCGTCGTTTCTTCGGTGTTTTTTCTTAACGTTCTTTCGGTGCTTTTTTCATCGTTCTTTCGGTCGGTGTCTTTTTCGTCGTTCCTTCGGTGTTCTTTCGGTGCCTTCTTTTGGTGCTTCTTTCGTCGTTCTTTCGGTGTTTTTCGACGTTTTTTCGGCGTTTTTCAGTACTTTTTTTTCGCGTTCTTTCGGGGTTTTTTCGGTGCTTCTTTTGACGTTTCTTCGATGCTTTTTT